GTGAGACGCCTTTGCTTTGAAATGCGATTTGGCTTCCATCTTATGTTCCGATGCAGAACACCTAGGTCTCCTGATGTAGTAGAAGGGTTTTACTTTAATATAGTATATTTTAACGCATCTTTTAAGAATTAATAAACACCTTCAAAGTGCGGACTACAGTACAATTTTTTGTCGTTTTATTTGGAAGGAGACACTTTTCCAAACCAACGACAGACCGACGGACAACTAAACAGCTAAACATAAGCCATTCTATGAACTATTTCATGAAAAGTGAAAATTACTTACACTTAATTTCCTCACAGCTAACGAACTATATCGTGAAAATAATCGCTTTTTGCCACAAAATGACATACTTAGATGCTTATAACTATTTTTTTTTAAATTGTTTATTTAATATCTCCAATTGGTCTCAAGTTGATTGATACTGTGTTACAATTACAACAAATATCTCCGGCGCAGAGAGACAAATGAAATTCATTATCAAATACGTTGGTGATAATTATGGTGATACGTTTAGTGGCAATCGCATGACATCCCATTTCATTCTCTAGTTATATATTAATGGTGGATAGTCACCCTGTATATGTAATTTAAAACACTATATTTTCGAAAATAAATTACCTAGAGTTTTATTAGGTTAAGTGACGATAATTTATGTGGTATCTTTGTGAATACATTTGTTTCCGTCATATAAATTTAACTGTAAGATGAAAGACCTACTCAAATTACCGTCGTTTAAGTAACTTCCCTTACATATAAAATGAATGAATTAAATTCCCACTGCCAATTTTTCTTATTTCCGCGATTATTTATTCCAATTCCGCCAAACTTTCCGAAATGAGAATTATCTTTAAATAATGCGTTGAAAAATATTCAAGCGAAAAGGGATTTTCGGAATGCCAGGCATTTGACAAATATGTCGAGTTTAAAATCCCTCTTTGACAATCTCCCACTCCTCCATTACTGAATCTCACGTTTACTCAATTGCAGCGTGGGATAGCTCGAGGGGATTTTTGTCGGAATCGGCCGCCAGATCAATACCTGCACGTAATAAGTTAAACGATTCCCCCATGTGCCACGCTTTTGGCATTCGCGATTTCCACCAAAGCTTGTGATTTTAATATAATACATCGTTATAATACACAAGGCTCAAGCAACCTTCAGTCAAAAGCGCAGAGAATTACGCCGACGACTTTTGACGTCTAATGATGTTCAACGAAACGTAGTTTAAGACGGAAAATAAAAGCTCCACTTTCATAAAATTTTTACCGAATTATTCAAATTAGCTCAAGTTCGTGTTGTGGCAAGGGACCGGGTAAAGTTTATAAGTCTAGTTCTGTAACGAGCTACGACCCCCAATTCCTTTTTCCTTGCGAAATTAAAATAAAATACTACTTAGCTCTTCGCGGGTTGTGTATTTGTAAACAAACTGCAGTTTTATTTAAGGCAAATTCTGGATACTTACAGCGATCCGTAACTTGAAATGGTTACTCCAGACGCGAATGCAAGTAAAGGGCGATTTTTATACGCCAATAAATCTGTCAAGCGTCTTCTACTTTTTCTTGAATTACCAAATAATTTACGTCTTTCGCTTCGTTTCCGTTGCTCAAACGAAATTAGCTAAAATCTACGACGTCGTGTGCAAAATATGTCTATCAACTTTGGGTAATTACGTCGAAATAATTAGGGGATTATTTGACGTTCCGCTTGGCAGTATTCAAAGCGATAATTTAGTAATTAAGCGTAATTATTTACAGGGAAACGTCGCCTTAGTGGATTAAGTAATAATTCCAATGAATTTTGTTAATCTGATTGGTGAATTTCTGCAAGCTATAACAGCTTTTAGCAGATTTGTAATTGTCGTGTGAACGCTAACAAGGCTAGCACCTTGCAGTTTGCTGTAATACCGGAATTAGACTGATCCACCCACAAAATATCTACCCAGCTACCTTAAAACAAATCGAAGTTGAAATTATTAATTATTCTGAAAAATTAAACAATATCGCTGGAAGAAAAAGAGGCATTTAGATCATGGTCTTACATATTCCACGCACGCAGGCGTTCGACAAACAAATAAATAAAAAATCTTAAATTTCTTACAGTTTTACAATAATCCAATAAATCTGCTCGTAACAATTTTACGAGGTTAAGGGGCACTTAGAATTGACACAACAGCACTTGCTTCAGGAAACTTCACTTTTTTATGACAAAACAAAACGGGCTTGTTGAATTAAATGACAAAATCTGGTTAGCTCTTCGGACATCGGCTACAAATAATTGAAATTCAAACAAGGAAAATTAACAGAAAATAAGATAACGCTAAAGAAAGAGAATGGAACGCCATAAAGACCATTGACAATGCATTCATTTGAATTGGTTGACGTGGCCCCACGTTGGGCGCCAAGTAAATAATGTGTGCAATGTTAGAAACAAATCTAAATAGACAATTTACAATATCAATCAAACTTCAAACAAGAAAATAAAACGTAAGTACAAACAATTCTAAAAGGAGCAACAAACAGGGAAATTAAAATTCAAATAAAATCAACCAACTCCGTATTTATTTCGTAAATAATCCATCAAATTTACACTTAACAAAAAAATTTAAACAAAATTCCTGGAAGAAAGATAAGCTTACAAAGCTTATTTAAAAAAATTACCGCGCACACAGGCGTTCGATAATTAACAATAATAACAATTCTTGAAATTACTTAGAGTCCTTTTCTCTTTTAAATAATCCAAATAATCTGGTCGTGAATGATTTGCTATACTCAGGCGGCGCGCACTTATCAAAAACACAAAAACCCTCGCTTCACTTCACTTTATCTTAAAAAAAAATTTCTACGAACTTTTATAACTTGACTGGATGACGAGTTAATCTTTTATTAACTGTAAGTTCTTCTACACACTTTATTTCGAAACTAATGAATTGCGTCTTCAACAAAATGAAAAGGGCCATACACCCGTAACTTAGCGTAAACAAATTTATACGCTTTTTTACCGTCGTGAACAAAAAACACGCAGCCACAGCAGCCCTTTTACCTGGTCTCATGTATCTAAGGAAACACCACTTCCATCAATGAATAATTTCCTTCCTCCTTTACAAATAAAGCGCCAATCATAATCGGAAGGAACGGGTCCACTTACGCTGAACTAAGGCACACATCTGTTATCTCTTCTATCAGATATAAGAACACGTGCACTAATTAAATCTCGTGCGATAACAAACACTCTTACCGCAAACGACCAGATGTGCCTACATCCCAACGCGTAATCTCATGTTTTAGAATTAAATAAGCAATGCGCAATTACACAAACAATTCTAAAAGAAAAAATATCACGAAGACATAAATTCAAGTGAAATAAACTAATTATGTGCTTATTCGTAAATAACCCCTTTCTCACATACAAGTCATTATGTTAGGTGTTTTAAACCTTAATAACATCTACAAGACGTTGTTTATACAACAGTATACTAGTATCGATTATTTCCCAAATTACGTTTTACACGATTAATACTTCCCAGCAAATTATGGATTTGTTTCGTTTTTTTTTGTTTAACTTTTCCGGATTTTCATTTTAACATCCTGTCCAAAAAGATATGATGGTATTATCCTCTGGTAGGGAAAAATTTTGCTTGCTTGCTGTCTATAAACCTTGGAAGTTAACCTCTGAAAAAAGTTCATCCAGAGGACAACGTTCCCTGATAAATTCGTAGAAGAATATTTATTCGGCGGAAAGATGCATTGTACAGTTCCTATTATTTCACGAAACATGATTACCAGTCAGGAATAACCGCCCCTAACCTGTTTTATGCCAATATCGTCATCTACACTCTATAGAAGAACAGTTATTTATGTAAAATTAAGGGTTGCGTATCTTTAAAACAAAATGGTCGTAAATCGTATGCTAGTGAAGTTAAAAAGTCTCAAGTAAGATTTTAACTAATAGACTGTTGAGGATTATTTTTCATAATGTATCAAACGCTGTATATTGCCAACGTTAATTATCCAAACCTCTTACCGTATTTGTGTCCTTTAATGCAAAAAAAGTATCGAATGTGAGTAATCTTTACTAATTGAAGGGATTAACCAGCGTTTTCCAATTCAAACAATAAATAATCGCAACGCAACCCAGCTTATCACATGAAAAGCAAATATGTTGATGCATAGAGCTTCGTTTACCGAACGAAGATTAATAAATCTTAAACTAATCATATTTGCTCGAAAAACAATGCCCTGCTGTTCTTTCGCAACGATTCAACAACGGATTGTAAATACATAAATCGGAAAAGTCCACAAGTCGTGCCCTTACCGCCCACAACATTCTGTCGCTATCAATAAGGGGAAGCTTAAAATGGGAAACGAAGCGTGAACGGTTCGATAACTGAGAAAGTTCAATTTCCAACCCAAAAGGGAATGGAACTTATTAATTAAAATCTATCCATGGAGAATCATGTTAGACCTACCTGAATAGTGGCTAAGTTAGAAGTTCCATTTCGGCTCTGTTTGTCCTTTGGGAAACAAACTTCTATTGCTGTAAATACACCGCAACATCGAAGTGCACTTTTCAGGGGTGCAACAAGCTCGCATTTTCTAATTTCAGTTGACTTTTTTGACTGAAACGTGAAACTCGGAGTACTCGGTGCCAGATGATGGATCTTTAGACTAAGAGCAGTTAAGAGATTTAATTAAAACGTGGCGAAAACTATTGTAACTTAATTATAACATTCCAAGATATAAAGTTAGAACTAACGGTCGGATTTTCCACGATAGTTTCTGAAAGAAAACTTTGTCTTATCCATCGGATAAGTGGACTGTGGACAATACAAAAACTCACTGATCCTCCGAAGCCTTGTGAAAAGATAATACTGACAATATAATAAACAATATTGTTAGAATTATAGATTCACTTTGAATGAACGCAAAAGAATCCACCCCCCAGATACAGCAGTGTGATTTCGAAATTTGTTTTAATACGACCTTTCGTTTTAATTACAGGTGAAGGTTCCCAATCTGACAACGAGGATCAATGCGAATTACACTCGGACCAGGAAGAGAACAAAGAGGAAGCGGAGAAAAACGATCAAAGTCAACAAACCACTCCGACGACGCCTCCACCATCAGAAAACGGTAGGTAAACACAAATTCAACAGGAACTTCAGTTTTAAAGCATGATTAAAATTGAACTTATAATTTAATGGTCTTTGAATAAGTAAACCTAATGAAGCCCTTCGGCTCGCTCCATTTGTTCGTTTTTTAAATGTTCCATTATTAGCACTCGCGTCTCCAATATTAATTTAAGTTGATTACTTCGAATGGTAACGAAGGGTTTTAACAATGGCTGGCGTTAATAACTAAGCGTGTCTGTTTGATTCTTTATCAGTAAATTACATTTTTCATCATTGATCTGATTTATACATGGCGCATTTATACATGGTCTTTCACGATGAGCGTCAGTTAGTCGTTCGGAAACCGTTCTAGATAACTCTATACACATAAAAGTAAGACTTTAGATTCACGATTTGGACCGATCGAAGTATAGGATTTTTTTTAACTTCTTTTTTCGTTGATGTCCCACTCTCACACGAACTTCTGCGATAAATTCGTAGATCCTCACTATACAGTGGAATACTCTTTGCTGTGTCAACGAATATGTAAATCAATACCGGAACTTTTCTCAGCGTAATGAAAACATACTGGCGCGTTTAATTAGTTTGTCCTTGACCGCAACCCGGTTGTTTTAATACGATGGAAATACGATCACCTAATGATAACATTTTATTCTTTTTAACTATTCTTTTATAAAAATTAAATCCACATTTAGCACATTTAGAGCTACCGTTACAGTTTGGAATTTCGAACACCGGTGTCTAGTTTTTAATTCATGTTGCCGGGTTCCGGTTTCCTCCGATTCCCAATTTTTAATTTCTAGATCCTAACTTCCAGATTACATTTTCCAGTTGTCAGTTATTTAAAGTTTAGAAGTTCGAATTACATTTTTTAAACTGCCGTTAAAGCCTCCCATTTCTCGCTCCTTTAATCTCCTGTTGTTATTTCTGTGTCCGTGTTGTCCTCAGTATTCAATTCCTATGTTTTACCTACTAATTTTGCTCAGTTGCCGTTTTTCATTTTTCAAATTCGTATTCCTAGTCTAGAGATCCATTTGCCTTTTTGTAAGTTCTGCCTTTCAGCTTCCAATTCTTAATCAGTGTTCAGCCTACGCGTCTCCGATTGTTCAGGTTTTAATACTCCCTCTTTTTAATGATTTGTTTACACCGCTCAAATGCCCACATAATTTCTAGCTTTTCATATTTTTCCTCGTATTTTTCATACATTGGGCCATTTTAAGAGTTTTTTTAAATAGGTTTGCAGCTTACACCTAGGGATATTATTTTATTTGTCAAAGTTAGATGATTTGAAGTGCTCCGTTTGTTTACAAATAGAGCATGCGTTGGATCAAATGAGGACTGAGAACTGAAGAATTAAATTCTAAATGTAGCTATGAGATATTTGTAGTTGAACGCAGTTCAAGCATTAATATACCCTTGTCATGATTAAGGGATGCAGAACGATTTATGCCGTTTCCGAAAGCAATAGTGTCGTCTTGCTTGGGTAACTGCTAATGTAATTATTTCGAGGGTATAAGGAACGTGATTATGTGTGGATTAATTAAAGAATAATACGAGGCTCATCTGGAATTTAGTACACATTTGCTAACATAATACACTGATATTGGATAATGCTCTTTCTCAGAGAGTGTTAGATTTAATCAAATTGGTTAGACAGTAGTTATTTACACAATATCTGCCTTTGCAGCTCTGAACAATCAGTTTAATATATTGGAAACTTCGTGTTGAAAATTAGAAATGCATTTATCAATTTGGTCGTAATGAATAAGTTTAGATTAGAAATAACACGGATATGAAATTTTGAAAGTGTATTGGGAAAACTAAGGTTCATTTTGTTTGGCCATCTAAACAAATTCATTTAGCACCACAAATTAATGAAAAGGATGTCTATTATTAGAGACCTTTATGCGGCAATTTTGAAGCTACAGGTTCCGATTCTGCGTTTGGTTTTTTTATCACCATTAATCATGCAGCAAATGTCAAGATCTTTCTTAATTCATTTTTCAAACTTTTCGCTTTAATTTTCTGCATTAACCTCGAACTCTCTTATTTTATTATTCTATATTTTTCAAACGCGCATAAAATGGACATCAAATCGGAAAAGAATATGCAGTTTTCTCAGATTATTATAGATTTACTCCAAAACGGATGTCGATGTAGGTAGTAGTATAGTAATGTTCAAAGAAGAAATAAGCTCGTGTTGTCTACTTCTAATTTGGATTATTGATGCAACATGGCGGCTGGGCGGAGCTTTTAGCTCCTATTGTCGCCACTGTTTAGTATAAAGTCACCTTACACTGAAATGTGCAAACTTGAAACGGAAAATCAGAAAGGGGCAATTAGGGGATGGAAACTAAATTAAAATCAAGAAACCGGGACCCGAACGCTTGAAAAACTGGACTGAATAGGAAATTGAAAAATGAAATCTAAAACCAGGATAGGCGAAAATGAAAACTAAGCAAATATGTTTATTTACTAGGAAATTTCAAACATTATTGAAGAAAATCTTGTGCACGAATGAACCTGCTCCAGTTCCCGAAAGCTGGACTGTACAAATCAAAGTTATATAAACTGGAAGCTGAGAATTATACACTACTAGGCTCTTGTATTTCAGTAGAAAGGTTAAAAAATGTTATAGTTATATTCATTTTTACTTTACAACTTTAAGTATATGTTTCGCTGTAAAATTTTATTGCGTTGCAGAACGGAGAGGAATTGATTCGAAATAATTTTACTTTGATATTTGACGATGAAATTAGCTACGTACTTGCATTGATTTTCACTTTTTGCTTTGTATAATCAAGTTCAAGATTTTATTAAGAGTAAAAAGGTGAGATCTTTGCGTCTGGCGGAATATTTCTGACGCGACTTTTTGTGAGTCTCGTTAGCTAGACTGTCACCCATGTGATTTCTTTTTACTCGTAACTGAAATACAAGGAGCTTCAACGAAAATTTGTAGAAGTAGTTTCAATCGCGATGTAAGTGAAGGTCATTTTGAGCAAATTCTTGGTTTAAACCTTTTTGAACTGTTATTAATTTTTAAATTTTTAAACTTTAAAGCGCCATTTCTCGGTAACTAATCGATCGATTTAAAAATAAAAATAAAAACAGTTGTGTAACTATCACACTCCCCCCTAAAGTATGAGTTATTTAACCCTCCGTCCCAGTTAAAAGTGTGTGTGTGGGGGGGGGGGTGTAACTCCTAACACAGTGTTAAAATTTCAAGAATGACGAAATAACTAATTAGCTATTTATTATTATTATGCGACCCCTGTGATTTGAACGGTAAGCTCTTGGAGTAGAAACTCATCTATAGCGTGTTTGAATTGTGAAGATAGCGGTGGAACTTCCCAATGAATTTTCCTTGCGCAATAATGAGAAAATCCAAAGTTCTGCGGTTTCCACTCAGGAATATCGATGAAGCAAAAATCAGGTAGCTAATAGTGAAGAACAGAGTAAGCCAGAGGTAAGAAGCCTAAAAAATGTTTAGTCAAAGCTAAGGGTAATGCATAATTTTTAGTGCATACCTTAGAACGGGTAAAATATATCCGCAAACACAGCGACAGCGAAGTGTCAAGGCAAAATAACAAGAGAAAAATTGCACCAAACTTATACAGCCATACAAAAATGTCGAGTAACCAATATGGCGTGTACTGTCTTTATACAAGTAGTGGTTGAATGTCGGTTTGTACAAAGAAGTGCGTGCGCCGAAAAAAAATAAAAAGAAACCTCTGCACGACCTCGCGCGGTAATACAAAGAACTGTAAGAAATTTATAACACTTGGATGGCCTCTAACGGCAAAACAAAGAACTAAGGTGGCAGAGCTCTACTACAAAACTAATTTACATCTTTAAACTGGTGGATTACAAAGGAAATACCTAGATGGCGTAAGAATATCAAATTTAACTTCGAATTTAAATAAAACGTAACACTAGTAAACGTAGGAAGTGCCCCATCTGGATTCACGACAAGCTGCAACGCGAAATGATGGATACTGTTGAACAATAAATTGTTAGCGCGGTTTTTAAGTTTAAATTAGAGCGGTACACTATAATGCGTGTAACATCTGCTTTTGGAGGTATTAAATATCTCGAAAAGTCAAGAGTCACGTCTGTTATCATAAAGCAAAGCAATTCGGCCACCCCAATTATTCATACTTCAAGTTTCTGCCAGAATTTATCTGAAACTGCCTCCAGAACTGCTTCACCAACCCATAAACGTGAATTATATGAGTAATGATAACTTTATTAGCTCCCGCGATAAAATAAACAAAAGCTCTCGCCATACCTAATGGCGGTACTTCTAAAAACGCGCGCTTTTTTAGGTTAAAAAACAGCATCGAACGCGAGAAGAATGGAACCAATAATTATCTACCCCGACTCGCATGGTAATTCAAAATATCTATGCCTGTTTGACTTTCACAAGCAGCAGAATACACATCGCCCTCATTAAATTAATACCGTGTTGAATTCGGGAAATTCAAATGTTCCTCACATATTTGGGTCAATCGGTAAACTTCCAACATTTCGCACTTGCAGTTTTCTTTTCATTCTGAGCGTTTTATGTCTCCATTGAATCTCGAAGTGGGTTTCAATTTCTTTTCCAATATTGTAATAATACCAAAAGCCAAGCAGGAATTACGCGGGTAACGTTATTTATTCATTATTCTACCCGTTCCAATTTAGTTCATCGGATGATTAAACCAGCTCAAATTTATTTGCTCGTAATGTTTTCGTGCTTCGAGTAGGTAATTCATGTTCCGCGAACAAACGCCTTGAAGGTTTAGAAATTTGTCAAACACTCCCTTTGTGCAAAATTAAATGGGCCCCGAAACTGAAAGCGTGATCGATGGTGTAAGTACCTTATCTAGTGGTTTATACGTCAAGGAGGCCATTCCGGAATGGCTCCTCATTTAGCTATAAACAATTTATCAAGACGGCTCACGACGTTTTCCACAACTTTGACATCTACGGAAACTAATAAAAAAAATGCGCTAAAAA